AGGGCATCAAACATGGTAGATTAATAAGGGGGTGCTGGCGTTACTAATGGGGGGGGTGCTGCTGTTGCAGGTAAAAAAGGAGCTGGTGTGCAAAAGCAGGGCATCAAACATGGTAGATTAATAGGGGGGTGCTGGCTTTACGAATGGGGGGGGTGCAAAAGCAGGGCATCAACCATGGTAGATTAATAGGGGGGTGCTGGCTTTACTAATGGGGGGGTGCTGCTGTTGCAGGTAAAAAAGGAGCTGGTGTGCAAAAGCAGGGCATCAAGCATGGTAGATTAATAGGGGGGTGCTGGATTTACTAATGGGGGGGTGCAAAAGCAGGGCATCAAACATGGTAGATTAATAGGGGGGTGCTGGCTTTACTAATGGGGGGGTGCTGCTGTTGCATGTGCAAAAGTTGGGCAAGTTAAAATTAGATTAAAAACGCATGATGTAGCGGGGGGTTTGGGGGAGGGGGGCTTTAATAGGGGGGGGTTTCGGGCAAATTTTTTTGTTATTGTGGGGGTGCCAGGGCAAATTTCTGGGTTTCAATTTAAACGAGTATTGGCGAGGGATTTTCCAGGAAAACCAGGCGCTTTAATAGGGGGGGGTTTATTAATCCTGGGTCTGCATTACCTGGACCCGCAAACTACCCATATCAAAGCAAATTCACCAACCATAATTTTGGGTAGCAATCACCCATGTTTGCAGGGTACACCGAGCACACACCATGGTTTAATGTGCAGGGCTTCCAAGGTCTTCCCTTGCAATACCCCTGGGGGTTGAAACCAATCAAACAATGGTTGGGTTCCACGATATCTAGTTCCCCCAGTGCTTTCTCACCCCTTTGTTGGAGGGTTTCCCTACTAAAATCGACTACCTGGAGTCTCCTTCTGACCCTTGAAAAATAGGTCCATGACCCGAATCAGTATTTAGGGCAATGACCCCATTTTTAAAGGGTCATGGAGACTCTAGGTACAGACAAAAGTTGGTACCTTTATTCTAACCTCTCAAATCTGGACCCGACTCGAGCGTCTTCTCTCGCTGGCCGACTCGCAGGACTTGGAGCTACGACCTTTGCGACAAGAGGCCCCTTGGATCCAGACCGATTGGTATCTTGTTTAAGGGCAGCTTGAGGGCGGTGTTGAGGGTGCCCAGTTCCTTTTGGGGGGTGTCCAACCGCCAGCCCAAAATGATTGCAACCTTTTAGGGTGGGCCAAAAACGAGAAACCGAACCTGAAGATCTGAATTTTTGCGTGCCCCATGTGCCAAGATGATCTTTTGGGTCACTTGGAAGGAGCACCAAATGGGCGGGGAGTTGCGAAAGGCATGTCAAATTTTGAGACAACCCCATGCCTGAAACCGTCATCCATTGCATACAGGTGTTTCGGAACTCCTACTTCCAGAGATTGTTTTTGGACTTAGATACTAGGTCCCCCAGCAATTGGTGCCCTTTCTCACCCATTTCTTTTTTGGTTGGGAGGGTGAACCCCCTACCAAAACAGACTACAGAAAAGGTTGGTACCCTTATTCTAACCTCTCTACTGGAGGACCTAGGACACTTTTTGAGAAGACAGCCCCGGCAGTAGTCAAAGGGTTTGGTTACAGGAAAATATCAAACCACTAAGTAGGTGATGACCATGATTAGTGGACACCACAATTGCCCCAGTTGTTTCCCATGGTTCCTTACTACGTGGGTTGAGTATCCAAGTGCAGTTGAGTGAAAGTAGATGGCAAAATTATCGTTGTGTGGCTAAGTAAATGGAATGACAAGCGAAACGTGTTGGACTCGTGCCATCTACTTTCACCCCATTGCAAGTGGTTGGTTCAAGGGGCAAGGTTTACTTCAGTGGTTTGACACCGTGTTCTGCGGGTTACAACCCACTTGTACGTTCAACCCACGCAGTAGGTAAGTTCTAGCCCTTGTACCTAGGGTATCTGGAGAGCTTGTACGCATGCTACTGGGTCCATCACAGTTACATCCTCAAAATTGGTATAAAGGGATTGCCCTCCCTCCCCCCCAAGCAAAAAAACAAGCAAACACATAAATAGATAAAGCACAGACCACAACGTCATTTTGCGCACACACCTCAAACTATCGCCATCACCAACTCCACGTCCCTCCCGCGCGCGACTCGAGCCGAGGCCCTGCGAGCCAGCGAACCTCGGCATGAAGCCGAAGCCCTCCGAGCGCGCGGCGGGGTCGGGGGGCGTGGGATCCGTCGCCGGAGCCGTCCGCGTCGCCGCTGGGTCGCTGGGTCTGGTGCGCTTGGAGGGTCCTGGTTTACCTGGTTTACCTGGGATTCCTGGTGGTTTTTTCCCTTCTACCAGGGATATGCCTCTATTTCCCCTACAAGTACGCCTATGCTCGTTGTCGATGCCCCCGGGATTTCGGGGAGTCCCGCGGTTTTGCCGCGGGGCCCGGGCACTCGTCCAAAACCTGGGCATGGCAAGAGGGGCAAGAATCACAAGCGGTCCTCTCCTCTGCCTCTACCCGGCTTTTTTAACGGTATGATGTCGACCCTCTACTAAAAAAGGGATCGGTATTTACCATGGAAGCCCGGGTTTTTCGAAAAAAATCCCTGGAAAAAGCGGGTGTTTGGAGTAGGGGGAATGTTAACCCCGGATCGCAGAAGCCCTGGTTGATTTTTGAGGGGGTGCCCAATTCCTTTTAGTGGGGATTCAGACCACTTTTGGAGGGAACACCCCCTTAATATTGGGACGGGTTTATTACTCCTGGGTCAACATTACTGTGGATGGTGACGCGAAATCCATGGATTTCGCAGCACCGAAATCTGAAAAACCACGTGAATAAATCGATTCCCCTACCTACATACCAACAAATGTTCTGGTTTCAACCATGGTTTCAAAGTGGTGCAGGATTTCTTTCGTCCACACACAGTATGTGGTATTTTCTCGTTTTGGAGTTGGGTGTTGGGTACCTGGGTGTTTGGAGTAAAGGGTACTGGGGTGTTCTTTGCTAGTCAATAAGTTGGGACCTGGGTGGGTTGTAGCCTGGATGGGTGCTTACATTTCCAGTTGGAATCTATCACTTGTTTTCCTCCTTTGCCAGGGGACTTCTTGGCCAATGGAGGGTTTCCTGGACCTCCAAAAAGCCTGGTTTGGTGCGTTTGATGCAAATTTTGGAGGGCATTTTGAGGGTTCCGGCATCCCTTGAAGCTCCACCAACACATGTCCCTATAAAATTCGGCTCCGAGATCTGCGAATCGGGCGCGACTCTCATGTAAGCCTGGAGTCTCCATGTCCCCTAGAAACAAGGGTCATGACCCCTGAATTTGGGGTAATGACTCAATGACCCAAATTTTAAAGGGTGATGGAGACTCTAGCAGGGAACGAATTCACTTGTTTTTTCCTCTTCCGGTGCCACTGAAAGCCTTCCATTCGCTGAAGTGACTCGGCACCCATCGGAGCCCGAAGAACTACAACCCCCAAGAATCCCAACTCAAAAAAGGCAGGTTTTATAGCAAGCACAAAGAACCCGGACCCGAAAGAACTACATGAAGCCGTAAAAAAACACGTTTGTTTTTTAGCAAGCAGGAATCATGAAAAAAAAAATCCAGCAAAGAAAGAAACAAAGAAGCAAAGAAGCAAGCAATCAGGCAAGCAAACAAACACGCGCTTGCCAACCGGTTACAATTTAGCAAAAAGGGAGACACATTTGTGTCGGTTTAGATGTCAACAAGGGAAACTGAAATTGGGGTCCAAGCCCAAACTCCCCCCCTTCCTTGCTTTGAGGCATTCGAGGCCGCACCTGAACCCAAGCCCCGAAGCCCTATTTTGACACACCCAAATTTGAGTCATTTGAGTCTCTGAGGTTCTGGACTGTCACTTCTCGATTTTCGTGCCCGGGTAAATCATCACCCGGGACCTGAACGCCCCACGCCAAGGGGTCCCCGTGCAGAACCCATGGGTTCCGACCATTTTGAGGATTTGCTCCCGAAATCAATCGCGACCCTGGGGGGGATAATGTTAACCCCGGATTAGTAAACCCCTGGTTGAGTAATAGGGGGTGTCCCCTGTTAGTGGGGGTGTTCCCTCCAATTTATTAATCCTGGGTCAACATTAAATAGAAAGTTCCTGGATCGCCAGTGGCGATCGCTTTTTCAATGCACTTTACGACTTTACCACAAAAAACCGATCGCAACAGTGACTGAACAAAATTACACCAGCCTCGACCCCAAACAGCAAAACTGCATGACAGGTCTGTATAACCCAAAAAAGGCTTGTCTCCTTCATGTAAGGTGCGAAATTGAGTAGATTATGTGAGCAACACATAGTTACAATCCATCTCCTTGCCGCCGGGTAAAAGCATCGATGCTCATCGACTTCGAGGAGGAAAATGCCATGTCAATGCCATGTTCGAGAGTGAAGGCCCCATGGATTCGGGGTGAATCAACCTAACACCTGGCATTATTCAAAGGAAGTTTCGAAGGAACTTCCGTAGTACGGACACTCAATGCAAGTTCCATCACCGCAGCATTTGGTGGCCGTCTCGCTACTCTGCTGAAACTTGCGCATCAGTCTTCTCAGCAGCTTGCGGCCGAGACTGGGCACATGCCACTTCTGGTTGCTATCTTCTTCTCGAGCTCGGCTAAAGGTCTTGCCACAAGCAAAGCAAGAGAGAACTTGCATAAACTTGCAGACTGCGGCGTTAGCAACTCTTTTTAGATTACACAGCCACCGAAAATGTGTCGAAACATGGCCATGACCGTGTGTTGCAATTAGCACATTGAGCACCAGAGCCGCAATTCCGTAATGTTGCTGGGGAGTTCGCCACGCACGCAGGGTGTCCAGCAGCACCGAAACCTTTTGCGAGAACGGGTCGGAATCGATGTTCCAGGCGTAGCGAAGCTGTGTCGTCAAAGAAGAAATGGATGGGCCATGTCTTTAGCGCGTGTTGCTTCGGTGAGTGATGGTCTTGATGCTATCAGCACATCCCTCCAGCTTGGTTTCCCGACAAGCCGCGTATGCTGCGAGCAAGTAAATCAGAATCTCGCCCAGAGCTGCCAAACTCAAGTCAAGATCTCGGAAAAGAACGTTGATTGCGAGAATGCGGGAGGCTAGCACAAGCGCCATGCAATACAGCTCACGTTGAACCCCTTTGGTGTTCCATGGGTCCAGAGACTGTAGGGAAGCGAGCGCCTCAGAGAATGATAATGGCACCTTACGACGTCTAATCAGGAGGCAACGAGTGGCTCGTGCATCTCGCTAGCGCTATCTTGCTCGTGCTACTGGCTAGTGGCATTTTGCTAGTGCAGCTCGCTAGTGCTACTTGCTAACGCAACTTGCTTGCGCAACTTGGTGTCATCCGCTGGAGGTCTTTTCTGCAGCGCTCCTGCATCCCTAGCATCATCAGTCGCCTAGAGCCCCCCTCCCCCCGCTTCATACGATTTTGGCTAAGATGGTGGCTGACCCGCGCAAGCCCTCTAGTTGCTTCGCTGGTAAAATGCTTAGTGGAGCCGTGCCCCTTCTCCATTCCAAGGGTTTGTGGAGCAAAACTGTCAACGAAACCGTCGACTTCTCTGTGGCACTCATCATCACCCTTCTTCTCATCATCATCCTCCTCATCCTCGTCATCCTGACCCTCATCACCATCATCATCATCATCATCATCGTCACCACCTTCATCAGCCACAGAATCAACAGAATCCTCCTCATCCACCCTCATCATCACAGCGCTGCAAAAGTCCAAGCTAAATGCTTTGTGTTTAGCCCCGAAAGCCTCAATGTCTGCCACTTGTCCACCTGCGCACCTGCATTCATGGCCAGCACTCGAACAGGAAAACATGTCAAGAAACCGCTTTTTACACCAGCGCTAAGTATTTTTCTCCGCTGTCGATGCAAACCTGTACTTGGCCAAGAAGCGCGGCGCTGGCTTCCAAAAAGCAGCTCAGTATCCTGAGCAAAGCAATCAGCCAGATGTCCCAGTATATTTGTTTATCGAGAAAACAGACACATTAAAGGCTCGACAGGGTTGTGCCACAAGGATGCAAACCTGCAGTTGGCCAAGAAGTGCGGCACTGGCTTCCAAAAAGCAGCTCAGAATCCTGAGCCAAGCAATCAGGCGGATGTCACGGTATATTTGTTTATAAAACAAAATGGAGGGCTCTGCTGATGCGCCACAAGGATGCAAACCTGCAGTTGACCAAGAAGGCTTCCAAAAGCAGCTCAGTGTCAGCCGGATGTCACGGTATCTGTCTATCGAAAGCAGTCTACATATTTAATGCTCGACAGGGCTCTGCTGATGCGCCACAAGGATGCAAACCTGCACTTGGCCAAAAAGTGTGGCACTTGCTTCTAAAAAGCAGCTCAGTTTCCTGAGCAAAGCAATCAGCCGAATGTCATGATTTGTTTCTCGAGAAAAATAAACATATTTAAGGCTCGACATTGCTTGCTTCTAGCTCCAACGCAAACCTGCGCTTGACCAAGAGAGAGCCACATCCTTTGCACACAGGCTAACAGCAAAATTTGCGACATGCCCTTTCCCCACTGCTAAACATTTTTGCAAGTCCTTCCTTCTGACTTCGAATCTACGTTTCTAGCTGGACTGTTTTTGATGCTTCTCAATTGCGCTTGCGCGCTGCTGCCACTTGAGCCGAAGGGAGCCGAACAGGTCAGCCTCAAAACTGGGTAGGTGCCCGGGACCTTGATTTTTCCTGTTGAGGGCTGTAAGCAGGAAAACAGCCAGCTGGCAGCAAGCAAGGTCAGCCCCAAAAACTCGCAAAGAAGAAGCAGCTTCAGTTGGTTTTGCCCGGGGCCCGGGACCTTCATTTTTCCTGTTGAGGGCTGTAAGCATTAAAAAACGGCCAGCTGGCAGCAAGCAAGGTCAGCCCCAAAACTCGCAAAGAAGAAGCAGCTTCAGTCGCTTTTGCCGGGAGACACACGGAGAGAAGCGGGAGACGACCCTGGAGCCAGCGTCACAAGACTGGGAGCACGGGAGACCCCAGAGCTGGCGGCGTCACAGCATCTGGCATCTGACCGCAGAGACTGGGACACAGGGAACAGGGGGAGACAAGCGGGGAGCCAGCGTCACAGCAAGACACGACCCCGGAGCCAGCGTCACAGCATCTGGCATCCGACCGCAGAGACTGGGAGACAAGCGACAAAGACACCCCGGCGCCAGCGTCACAGCATCTGGCATCCAGCGTCACAGCATCTGGCGTCCGACCGCAAAGACTGACAAGACTGGCGTCCGGCACGGCGTCACAGCATCTTGCCTCTGACCAGTCTCTAATTCGCGAGTTACTTAGGCCGTATGGGCTAAGAAGGTTTTTGGTGTTGTGAGGACAAGATAACTCAGAGCGTGAAATTTTCACGGCTTTTTCACGGAGTAGTAACGGCCTTTCAGTTTCCCGCGCAAGTTATCACGGCCGTTCGGCCGAGTTTTCACGGCTTTACGGGGGCCAACGAGCGCAAGTGACCGAGGACATCTTAGCTCAAAAAGGCAAGGTAACTTGGGAGCGTCACAGCAGCGCAGAGACTGCGAGACAGGGAGACAAGCTCCGGAGCCAGCGTCACAGCATCTGGCATCTGACCGCAGAGACTGGGAGACACAGGGAGACGAGACTGGGAGACAATCTGGCACAAGCGCAGAGACTGGGAGCACAGGGAGACAAGCGGGAGATGGGACACAGAAAAAAAGCGCGAGACACGACCCCAGAGCCAGCGTCACAGCATCTGGCATCCAGACACAGGGAGACAAGCGGGAGACACACCCCCGAGCCAGCGTCACAGCATCTGGCATCCGACCGTAGAGACTGGGAGACAGCGACAAGACGACGCCGGAGCCAGCTTCACAGCATCTAGCATCCAGACACACAGAGACAAGCGGGAGACACGACCCCGGAGTCATCCGCAGAGACTGGAAGACACAGGGAGACGAGACTGGGAGATACAGAAAGACAAGCGGGAGACGACCCCGGAGCCGGCGTCACAGCATCTGGCCTCTGACCGCAGAAGCTGAGGGAGACACAGGGAGACAAGCAGGAGACACGACCCCGGAGCCGCAGAGACTGCGAGACACAGGAAGACAAGCGGGAGACACGACCCCGGAGCCAGTGTCACAGCTCTGGCGCTGACCGCAGAGACTGGGAGGCACAGGGAGACAAGCAGGAAACACGAGACACACAGGGAGACAAGCGGGAGACACGACCCTGCGTCAGCGTTACAGCATCTGGCATCTGACCGGAGAGACTGGGAGACAGGAAGACAAGCGGAAAACAGGACCCCGGAACCGGCGTCACACTTTCCCATTCTCTATACCTCAAGTTAGAACCCCAATGCTTCGCTGTTTGGGGAAAAAAGCAAGCAACTTGGCGATCTAGGTTTAGACTTTTTTGCCAACCCACTCGCTCGGAAGTGGGCCCTGGACACCGGCCCTCGAACCGAGAGCAAACCACTCGCGCAGGATCTTGACACCGAGAGACACCCGGAGCTGAGCAACAACAACACCCTGCGCCTAGGCAAAACAAAGGCAACTTACAGCAGGTTCCAAGGAGTCGTATCTCTGGGGAGGCTTTGAATATGGGCTTGTCTTTTGAGGGTAATTACTTTTTTGGGAATGGATTCAAGGGGAATGAAAGGGACACCATTTTGACAGTTCCCCCATTTTGGGAAAGAGCCCAACTTCAAGGTTCACTTTTGGGTAATGGCCAGAGGACCCCTCAACCTAGGTCAGCTTGTCTGGACGTCATTCTCTGCTGTTATGTTTGCCTTTCAACCCCAAGGGCTTCGGTTGACATTGGGGTGATTTGGCAGAGGGACGTGCTGATTTTGTGGGTTCCCGAGTTTTGTTGCCACAGTTCACGTGAGCTACAGCCAGCATTTTTAACAATTATCTGTAGGGTGGTATTGACATCGTGTGTTTTCTCACCCAAATGCCCAAGAGAACTTCCCTAGTTCCCCGAGTAGTGCCCTTTTACCCTGTTTTGGGGGAGGGTTCCCCCACTAAAATAGATTACAGCAAAAGTCGGGTACCCTCATTATAACCTCTCTACTGGAGGACCTAGTCATTGACTTGTTCATCTTTTGCTTTGGTTCGGACCTGGGCCAAATCGATTTTTCCTTTGCTCGCTTTGGGCCGGGATGGGCAGCGCTGGCTTTTGTGAAGTCTTAAGGTTTGACTCTTGAATCATATTTGGGTGTCCCTGCTACTTGGGTGTTGGTTGTCAAGGTCGTCAGTGCTTGGTACTTGGCCTAGGACTCAATTTGGTTACTTGGGCATCAAGGGGGCCCTGAATATCTCAGAATACCCTGGTCCAAGTCGCAACGGATGTACCTAAAATCCGAATGTCCCGCCCTCCGACGCTGAATCTGAATTTAAAAAATGGACCTGGATCGCCAGTTGCGATCGCTTTTGTCCATCCACTTCACCCCAAAAACCGATCGCAACAGTGACTGGAGAAAACCGCAACTTGGCTATCCAGGGAGATTGCAGGCCTTGCTGGCTTGTGCTCAGTAGTCGGCTGTTGGGACTGAATTGGTTTCGGGGATTCCCGAATAAAGGAAGCCGTAGGGGATGGTGTATGAGCTTTGTTGCATTTTGCTTGGATGTTAGGACTTTAACTTTTTGCAAACAAATGTGCTTTCCACTAAACCACTAAAAGTTAAACTTTTAGCAGGGGAGCAGAAAGCAACCGAGTAAGGGTCATGTCATGTCTGGTTCCTTGCTGAGATCACTGTTTTTAGTTGGTTCTTTCGGGGTCCCGGTCGGAGATCTGATGTAGGCGAATCCCAGACCAACCGGCTGACAAGGATCAGCTACGGCTCTTATTGCGACACATGGAAGAAGACGGATAAGCTGATGTGGGTCGCTCGGCCAGGAACATGTGTAAGCTCCACACACCTGGCTGTCGCTTTCTTTTTTTTCTGCGTTTTTGTTTGGACATCCCCGGGCTTTCCAAGGAACACACTGATCTTGTTTAGCAACGGGGTTGATATCATACGCGGAAGAAAGTGGGTCATGTGTGCAGGGGGTACCCAAGCATCAGATCTCGGAGCCTCCATTGAAAGGGGGCTTTAAGGCTTCAAGGGACACTTTATTGGTTTTGGTTTTGGACCTTACAAGAGTCCTTTTCAGGGCCTTCCTCCCCGAATTCCTGGACTTTCCACTTCTGGGGTCTGGACCATTTGGGTGGTAAGCAAAGTGAGCTACCAGGACCCTCAAAATACCTTAAACAATGGAAATCCACGCCAGGAGTTCGACCGGGCAATATCATTTGTTTAAGAATAGTTTGAGGGTCTAGGTAGGACTTTTGGCCAATCCACTCGATCGGAAGGCAGGGGTTGATTCCCATTTTTGCTCGGTTGAAGTTTTGTTTTGTTGGGGGGGGGTGGGGGGGGGGGGCGGGTAACCGAAGTTAACAGGGTTTGGTCGTTGGCTCGACCACCTAAATGGGGGTAGCCTACTTTTAACGAGGCATGCTGACCCTCCGAACAGCCAAATACCCCACCTTGTGTTTAGCGTATGATGTCAACCCTTGGCAACAGATTATAGAGGTATTGGGTTTTTTTGTTTCCTGGAGAACCCAGTGTTTCCAAATATGCCCCCCCCGAAACAGGGCGGTATTTGGAGTTGGCAGGTTTAACATGTCGCCAACTAAGGCAGCCAAGGCGTTCGTCAACTGTGCTCTAGGCTGAACCCACCCATCCAAACCTCTCATTTAACACAAAGCTCTTTGTGGGTACCTGGACCGAGCCTCAAAATCCCCGAATAAAACCTGGGTAGGCTGACCCAAAATGGGTGAATTGCAACCTGTTTTGATAGGTACCCTAGAATTCCAGCTTGAAATGGGTGACTTGCACGCCACAAATATGCTTTGGTGCCTGTTGCTTGGATGTTAGGGCTTTAACTTTTTGCCAACAAATGGGTTTCCCATTAAACCACTAAAAGTTAAGCTTTTAGCAGGGGAGCAGAAAGCAACCGAGTATGGTTGCCCTTTAAGTTGTCTTGAGGCAGGTGGGTTCTTTCATCGCCAAGGCCTACGTGGGGTTTGACACCACTTGCGTCGAGCGCACGCCGCTTGGCCTCGATCGGTACAACTTCGGTCTCTGTTTATCTCGGCTTATTTCACTCGACTTGGATGTTCCAACCCTCTTTGTAGGTTATTATGGTGATAACAAAAAGCTTTGGGGTCTCTAAGGTATGCGTTTGCCTGCAGTGCCGTCAAGGAGACAAGTGGGCCAGCCTTTGCTGGTAAAGCAGGCGTTGGGATATATCGTTTCTGGGATGTTGAGGATACACCTAGGTCTTAAGGCGAAAGCAAACCCTTATCCAACCCTCCTGAAATTGGGAAGTGCCAACTTCCTAACCCCATTTTCCAATTGTGCTCCAGTGGAAACCCTCACTAAACCAACTCAAAGCCTGAAAATCCCACTCAGGAGCCGGATCGCTGCTTGAAGCACCAAGCCAAAAGCTGAAGCACCCGGACCAATTTTCCCTGGGGCCAGGAGAACACCGCGCATTTCCAGGGCCCTTTGAACACCCGATCGACTTCCTCCGGGCCCTCCAAATGAAAACCCCCTCAAAACCCCTCAAAAACCCTCACAACCAACCCATGCTGAGGGCAACAACAAGGGGAGCCCATTGGGGCGTTCTTCAAAAGTCTCCCTCAGGAGGCTTGGTAAACTGGTGGGTCAGACCCCCCAAAAGTAGGCCTCATCTTTGTCGCCTGAACGCCAAGCTTTGCTGCCTGTGGAAGGCGTTTATGGAAGGGAGCGTGAGATGACTAGGGTCGATGCGTTGAAACTTGGTGCAGAGCCATCAGCCGAGGCATCGTTCATTGGACCCTGAATTGGTTTGGGGGTTTCCCTGTCTGGAAGGTTGTGGACCCAAGACGGATGCCATTTTTGAGGATCTAAGCGGATAGAGGGGCCCGCGAAAACATGGGGTGGGTATATTAAGATCCCAACCCCAGAATTAGTGTCCGTGTTCCTGTTCACTTTCCTTTGAACCAGTACCCACGCAAAACAGACACAGGCACGCAGACACACACACACACACACAGAGAGCCTGCTCCAAATACCTGCGTCGTTCAAGGTATGATGTCGACCTCCGACCAGGTCAGTATTTGCCATTCACAAAGCCAGGCGTCTCAAATCACACCAGAACTCTTCGAAATTCCCTAGCAAGTAAAAAGGAAAGGCCACTAGACACCCTCCGACACCCTAAGAAACCAAAAGGCAATCCCTACAGCCTTAGACACCCTTCGAACCAGCTCAAAAACTGGTACCCAAAAAATGGTCCCCCCCTAGAGATAGCCAAGTTGCGATCGCTTTTTTCAGTCACTGTTGCTGGTTGTTGGGGCAAAGTGCATGGAAAGAAGCGAAAAAAGCAACTGGCGATCCAGGCCGGTTGCATGGAAACAATGACTGGGCTTGCGATTGGATTTTGAGCCGCTCATTTGAAGCATAGGGCCCCGCGCCGAAGCGCGCCAAAGCGCCCCGAGCGACGCGCCGGGCAAGGCGCAAGCTGGTGCCGAAGAACGGGGACTTCCCTCCCGGTCTGCCGGGGACCCGGGAGGATGGGGGACTCAACCGCGGAGGTAAGCTACAGAGACCCAGGTCCTGGAGTCTCCTGACCACAAAAGAAAAAGGGGTGAGGACCCTAGAATTTTGGGTATTGACCCCATGTTTAAAGGATCATGGAGACTCTAGGTTCTTCTTCTTCTTGTATATGATGTCGACCCTTTACTAAAGAAAATGGTATTAACCTCCCTAATTTCTCCAGATACCAACCTTTTGTTGGGGTATATGATGTCAAGCCTGTACTACCATGAAAAGCCAGGTTTTCCAAGAAATGTCTGAAAAAGGATGGCCTTTGGAGTGGGGGGAAATTCGGCAAACTTTTCCTGAGTTCCTGGAGTTTACACTTTCTGGGAACCCGGATCTCATGGGTCACCCCACGAATGCACAGGGCTTGGAGAACCCAGAGCGACCAATTCTCCGGTTCGGGGTCAGACAGAAAGCAACTCTTGAAGAATTGCGCAACTCTCGGTTTTGCGGAGCCGGCAAATGGATGCACTGGACTAAATAATGGAATTTTGAGGTTTTTTGGGCCACATTTTCACTGGGTGGGAAGTGAGTTTTCGAGTTTCGACACATAGTGGATCCATTTGCCTGGTTTTGTACCCATGGGCTTGCCAGGCTGTTAAAAAGCGCAAAGGACAATGGCGAAGGGTGACCTGTAGTCAGGGTTGTGGGATCAAGGGGTTTTACCCCAATTCTGCGATACAAGTTGGAATCTTTTCCGTTTTGTGGGGGGTTAGAGTTTGGGAACCCCTTCTTGTTGTATCACAGATTCGTGGATTCCATTTCAACCACAGCCCTGTCTGTGGCTTGCCGGCGAAGGCCGCTGTAAACCGAACTTGCCAACCTCAGGAAGTGAGGCTCAGCCTTAGGTTACCCCCGTAATCTCCAAACACCCACTTTTTCTAGGTGTTTTTTTCTTTTCGGAGAACCTAGTTTTTTCAGGGTAAACACCTCCTTTTTTTAATAGAGGGTCGACGTGACACCCTAAAAAAAGTGGGTATTTGGAGTCAGGGGTATAAGCATGGTTGAGGATAGTCCTTTAGGAAGCATGATCACAACCTGCCTGCCAATTCAGACCGATTGAAGCCGTGGAGAACCTGTTCACAAGTTGAAGTTTTATCCAAACAAAAAGCGCGCAACTGAAGAGTCTGCTTCAACTGGCTTTGGCATCCTCTGGAAGGATCAACTATTTGAGGCCCCAATTGCGTGATCGGTCTCGCTTGCTGGCGTGGGCAGACCTGACAGTTGCCCAAAGCGCACTGCACAGACCCCCAACCTTCCCTCCCGCACAGGTTGGGCAAACATGTGTTGACTCAGTTGCCCAAGTCCAACCTTCACTTCCCAGAATTTGCTCCCCATTTTGGTTTTTGCTTTTTTGGGTTCCCTTTGTTTTCCACTAACCAGCCAAAAAAGATATTTTTTGCTGGGGTCCAAATTCCAGCCTTCAGACCTTCGTTTTGGTCCATGTGTCAAGGTCTCAAAAGGTGAGCTACAACAACAGGAGGTAGAAACAACTCGGCCTCAAGGGGTCTCCCTGAACCCTCAGAATTCCCTTTACACATCGTTATTGCCCCGAACTTATAGGGTGAACCTGGATCGCCAGTTGCGATCTTGAAAATTTTCCCCCATGCACTCAAAACCCCAAAAACCCATCGCACCAGTGACTGAAAAAAGCGGCAACTGGGCTATCTAGGTGCGTTTCCGAAGAAGTTGCGGACCGAGGCATTGGTTTCTCCAGGGGAGGGCCCTCTGTTGCGCACCTATGTTCCTGGACCCACAAGGGAGTTTCCCCCATTGCTTTGGGTTGCAACAACCCATTTTTAGGGGGATCGAGGGTCCAGGATCCCTATGAAATAGAAGCCAAAAGCAGGTTTGAAGAGGTTGATGGTTTCAGCATGTTTGCACAGGTTCGCCCAACCCTGCTCGCACTCTGCATGCCTTCTGAGGCCTTACATGTTCCAGTCCTGGCCCCTTGGCCAGGTGTCCGCAAAAACCCGCCCTCGAGAATCAGGGCGTGCATCGCGTCCGATGGAGTTTAATTTCCTGCATCCGAAAGAACTACCAACTTAAGCATGGCAGGAATCTCCCAAATGCCATCGCTTTTTGTTAGTAGGCCTTTGTTTTCACTACCCTGGTTTTGTCCAGGGTAAAAGCAAAGGACTAGCTATACCCTATCATACCCCGAACAAAGTGGGTAATGTTGTTTTTATATCATGGGTTTAGTGGGGCATCATCACCTTTGGAGGGGACACCGCTCTGAATGAACTGGGCTTGACTAAAAAGGGGTCAACTTTATTGAGTGTAGGGGGCACTAGAAAGGAGTTGTAGCCCAAGTCAAAGGACACCAAGCCCCCTCAGGTGCCTTTGAAACTGCCAAGTCTGAAACTTGGCCATGGGTCAAAGCCGTTTTGGGATCCCATTTTGGTTGGTAGGCGAATTCACCACCCATTTTAGTGGTTCGGGATTTTAGTGGGGTACAGGGTTTTGACCCACAGCCACTTAATGCTGCAAAAAAGTCCCAGCTTAGGGCATGTTTGAGGGGTGCGGCTGTGAAATCTTTCAGGTCCAGTTTACCCGGTCTCTGCTCCCAGCGTTGCCTCTCAAGGCAGACTCCGTGAGTGGCTAGTCCACGCGAGCTGACACGTCGTAGTTCTGTAGCCAAGCACTTCTCCAAGCATCGTTCACCCCTCGTTTACTTGGCGGTTCCAGGGTCTTTGGTTGTTTTCATGTTCTTCCATGTGGTTAAGAATATTTGTTATGTTCTCCTATTGGCTTTAAAGGGAATCTATCACTACTGGATATATTTTATGTTTTGTTTTTTTCCAGGGGACTTAAGCAAATGGAGGTGGTTTAGCGGGTTTTCATTTCACCCACAGATGAAACAACTCTTAGCAGGGGATCAGAAAACGGACGGGTTAGAGGTATCAGGTCTCAAACCAAAACCACCGGCATCGGTTTGGTTCTGAACCCTCCAAAAGAACGGCATGGGGTCCGACATCTATTGCGCAATGGGCACGGGTAATGTTGACCCCGGAAGGACAAGGGTACCGACATGAATTAAAGTTCACAGGGCCTCAGTTGGCATCCGTAGAAGGTTCAATAAATCAATGACAGATGTAAGTGAGTCAACAAACGTGTTCCTGGACCCTCAAACTTCCCTTAATTCAAACTCGCGTTTAAAATGGGTTATTGCAACCCCAAATTATGGTTGGTGAACCCCAACTTGTCTAATGGTTAGTTTGACACAAGTTGTCGCTGTGCATTTTGATTTGGCCACCCCCAAATTCCCTAAAGGTCGCGCACGCGCTCAGAGACCCGGATTCGTTCGTTCGGTTAGTTTAAGCATCGTTTCAGGGAGCTAATCCCCTTAAAACTCGGTGATTGCCCCAAAAGTGTTGGTTGAAATCCCTTTTGTATGGACAGTAAACCCGTGCCATTATTGGGGGGTGTTCTCTCCAAAAGTGTTGAATCTCCACTAAATGGGGACACCCCTTATTAATCAACCAGGGGTTTATTAATCTGGGGTTAGCATTAAATAAACGAAGACACCGCTCCCTTTCCTCGCGGGTCTTCGGGTACGAGGACGGCCTGCACGGGCAACAAGCTTTGGGACACCAAGCGCCCGGACGGCACCGTGGGGGCGCTCTACGACGTGAAGGTGAAGTGCATGTGGTACCAGACCGCGCCCCGGCACTAGGCCCGTTAAGGCGGTACGGGACCCTGAAAGTCATTGCAAAAGTGGGGTACTGGCCCAAACTGATGGGTGCAGTTAAGGCTGAAGTCGGGGCCAAATCTATGCACCTGGACCCTGAAATGAATTCCCTGAGAAAGTGAAGTCTTTTGTTCACGGGTAGTTGGAAAATCCGGGTGGGTGTTCGATTCGCCAAGTCGGTGGGTAGTAACACAAACCTAGGTTGTAAGTTATAACTTATCACCCACTTAGCCTTCTTAATTAAGTGGGGTTAAACCGTTGGTTCTATCCCAGGTGGCTAACCACTTACTGACTTGGCGAATCAAACATCCAAGTACACTCTCTCAAACTCATGATTGGTTGGGATCTCATGTAATGTTTCAACTTGCGTGATCAAAAATCAATCCAACCGGGACACCGTTACCGTAGCCCTGTCGATGTTTGGAACAAGCACCCCACTTTTTGAGCGGATTTTGAGGGACTTGGATCAGATCTTCGATCCGCCAAGTTAGTATGTGGCCAACTAAGTGTCTAACCTAGACTCTCTCCATTTGCTTAAGAATATTTGTTATTTTCCCTTGTTGGTGTTAAAAAAGGAATTCACTACTAGCTGGACATTTGTGAATATTTTTTCCTGGGGCCTCAACCAAATGGAAGACGAATTTGGCGAAGCGAAAGTCCAAAAAGCCGTCCCGATGCTTGCCGCTCAAAATCCACGTGACTTGGCACTCAGGTCCCAAGTGAGTTCCCATAACTTGGTTGTTGTTGGGAAACATTTTACATTTTTGCTTGTTGTGGTTGAGTGGGAAACCCCCACTGAACTGCTTTTTTGTTTGCTCCCCTTCCAACGTCAACCATGATAAGGGTGTCCTTCTTCAACGGCCCTTGGGCGTTTTCCTAGAGATGTTCCTTTGGGTGCAAGCTGGCACCCATGTATGTTCCTTTGAGTATGCCATGTGTGTGTGTGATTTATTCTGTATAGATGTTTCTAGGGGTTGATTCCTGGTCCATTCTTTTCAACCATCGTTCTTCTCAAAAACCAACTGTTTCCCCTGGGTTTTTGATGTTTTCCTGAAAGAAGGATCCCTGGAAAAAATGGGGAAGGTACCCCTAGAGTTTTGAACCCGGGACCCAACATCAAATGGCGGGTTTTTGAAAATGTCTTAACATGGGGGGGGGGCACCTTGCAAAGGTGGTAGGTTTCTTCTTGGCTCCCAGAAATACAACGACGAACCCGGTATATGTTCCCTTTTGGTGGTTTTAAAGCTCACCTAGCGAATGTGAGCTTCCCTTTAAAGGTGATGTTAGGTGAAAAAAAACTCGGGGGGGTTCTGTATCTGGAGATTATCGGGGGAAGCCTTGAGGTTCTGGAGTGCTTCATCATTGCGGACTTGATGTTCACAGTGCCCATGATGGCGACTCGACCGTGAGCTCAAGAGCTCGACGACGCGTCGAAAACTCGTTTCTCCTTCAGAAGCCGAGCGATGGGTATGGCTTGACCCGAGGTTTTTGTTCTTCGACTCCATCAATCGATCAGCCGAGCAATGAATCGATCAATCGATCGATCAACCCACCAACCAACCAAACCAACCAAACCAACCAACCAATCCATCCATCCATCCATCCATCCATCCATCCATCCATCAATCAGTCAATCAGTCAATCAGTCAATCAGTCAATCAGTCAATCAGTCAATCAGTCAATCAGTCAATCAGTCAGTCAATCAGTCAATCAGTCAATCGTTAAATCAGTCAATCAGTCAATCAGTCAATCGTTAAATCAGTCAATCAGTCAATCAGTCAATCAGTCAATCAGTCAATCAGTCAACCAGTCAACCAGTCAACCAGTCAACCAGTCAACCAATCAATCAATCAATCAATCATTCAATCAATCAATCAATCAATCAACCAATCAATCAATCAATCAATCAATCAATCAATCAATCAATCAATCAATCAATCAATCAATCAATCAATCAATCAATCAAGGTTGGTTCTCACTTTCCACGAACGGGTTTGCAAAGCATGGAAGAGATGTAACACCCTTGTGCGGGGTTCCACTGGACCTTATACATGAACAACACCGAACATCATTGGTGGAATACGGGAACAAAACCAACTTCCATCACAAAGGAGAGAGACAACCCGATTGTCCCATGATATTTTTGGGAGCATCTGAGGGTCGTCGATCAAAACTCCTCTTCCGCGATCCTGACCAGGAGTTGCCTTTATGGTATCCCACAACGGCATGTTTAGTTCAACCCTTGTCGTGGTGGTCAAAATTAGGGGCCCTTTTTTTATCAGGGCTCCTTAAAAGATATACATGTTGCAACCAGTCCAACCGTGGCTTTTTCAACACCATATTGCATCCGGATCCCTGGTTTTGGTTTGCCTTTTGACAGTTGGCACAAGGCGGCACCAGGGTCCAAGGGGCCATACCTTTGACGACTCCCGATATGACATCCCTCTTACGTTGTGAGCACCACTGGTTCTTGGGATTACATTGGGTTGGACTGAAACGAATGTCCTTCCAAATAGCACCTGCAAAGCAACTCCCAAATGCAGGGCAGTGGCTGCATTTGTCTAATGCCCCATCATCGAGGTCCTGTACCCAGGGCATTTCTTCAGGGGCCCGAAAAAGATAACTTGTTTGAGGACTCCAAAACAGGTGTTCGATTTGTGAAGTCAACAAGTTGTAAGGGCATAACCCACGCATGTGTTGCCTCCTTAAGTGGGCCTGGCCCAGTCATTCGTGGGTTTTCTCACCCAGCTGGAGTTGGAACTTGGCGAATCGAAGATCCAAGTACTCACCGAGCTTCAAAAGGACGTTGGTTGGCCGTGACGTGACTCGTGCAGTCACGGGCACTGCAGGTTGCGGCAACCAGTCCCCAAACTAATGACTCGGGTCCGAACGTCTCAGACGCACGTGAAGCCACTACCTTGGCAAAGACCTACCTAGAGTCTCCATGACCCTTAAGAACGGGGTCATTGCCCAAAATTAAGGGGTCATGACCCCTTTTGCTAGGGGTCAGAAGGAGACTCCAGGTAAATGCACGCTGAAAGCCTCAAACACGTGCTCCGCCAAGCGCGAATTCCTCGTCTTCTTTGAGGGCAGTTCTTTCAGCTTCTTTCGACCCGAAAGAACTACAAACAAGAAAAGGACATCACATGTGGATGGACGAAATCCGTTCGAACCCGTTTGAAACCATGGTTGCAACCATTGTTTATTGCTATTTGCAGGGTTTTCTTGGGCAATCATCATTTCATCCACACACGGTATGTTGAGGGCAATATCCAGTTGCCAAGATCATTTCTCGGGGGGTTCAGGTACCTACTGTGGATGGTTGAGAGTTCCATTGCGCGCCGGCGTTCAGAAAACCTGGTTTCTGATTCGATACCCCAACCTTTTATATACCAACATTAACATTATCCATATATATATATATATATATATATATATATTTGGTTTCATTCCCATGCTGTTTTTGTTTTTGCATTTTAGGCGGACAACTAAAGGACTTCGATCCCCCAACGTAAATACCAACAAGCCTTCTGGTTTCATTCCCATAATTGATTTGTTGGGTGGTGCGAAGGGGGATGTTGTTTTCAACCATCCACGCCATCCCTTTGGTGCATTTTGCTTGGATGTTAGGACTTTAACTTTTTGCCAACAAATTTGGGTTTTCCGTATTAAACCACCAAAAGTTAAACTTTTAGCAGGGGTTCGCAGATTTCGCAACCGAGATCCCACGTTTTCAGGGGCGGCTTCGGCTTTTTTGCTTGAGGTGATCATGTACTACTTCATCGCCAATCGTTGTGCCGACAACTTCGAGGTGGAGGAGCCCAAATTTATAGGAAAAAATGGGTCGTGGGTTAGGTTGCTGGCGATGGGTGCAATGGGCAGGGAATGACCTTGCAAGAAAAGCCATCCAACTGGTGGTTTCCTTCAACGGGACCAATTCCTGGGTTCATTCCCACATTCCACAAGGTTGAGCGTGCCCCAACTGGTTTTGTTTCTTTTTGCTGAAATGCATTTGTGTTGTTCTTTTCCCTGCTTGATTTTAGAGTTGGACTCATTTTGAAAAAGGGTCGTGGGGTGTTGGTTGCTTGCGATCGGTGCAAAAGATGCAGGGAATGAGAAGTGGAGTCTGACCCCGCAAGAAAAACCATCCAAGCGGTGGTTTCCTTTCAGGGGACCAATGCCTGGCTTTCCTCAACGACAAACCCCCCACCTATCGCACCGGCAAGGTTGAGGGTGCCCCTTTTTTTCTCTATGTGCTGAACTAAATGTGTGTTCTTCTCCCCTGTTGGTTTTAAAGTTGGAATCTATCACTTAACCTACTTTGGGTTTGGACCATGAAACGTGGCTGGACTTGATTTAAAAAAAAGAGAAAAACATCCTTTTTGGACCTTGATACTGGAGGTTCACTGGACATATGTTCTCATTCTTGCCAGGCGAGAAAAATGCAATGGAAGTTGTTCAGAGGGCTTCAAAGGGAAACTCAGTTGCCCAAAGCGAATCCACCTTTTGGCCTTTTGGATTTCCCGTTGTGGTACCCAATTGTTAGTCATGCCCCAACAGGTAATCCCTTTTTTCGAACCTCCAAGGATCCGCCGTCTAGAAGATTCCTTCTTGATTTTTGGACGGTTTGAAAGGGACAAAAGTTGAGCACCCACCATTTGGCGTGGTCTGATTTAAAACAAAAAGCAAGCACCAAAAAAACACAAGACGCGACCATTTGATTGTTGTGCAACCATGTTTCTCGCACCGTTGCGGAGTCAAATTGATATACGGAGTCCGCTGCAGCCTAGAAGGGGCTTGGTCTTGATCTAGGTGTCCCTTTGATCTGTTAGTTTGGATAGATATACCCTAGTGTTCCTTGCCCTGAACAGAATTGACCCAATTTGGACAAGCCTTAGGTAAACAATCGTGGTGATACTGTGGATGGACGAAATCCGTTCGCACCACTTGGAAGCCATGGGAAACGATTGTTTGTTGGTATTTACAAGGGGGTCGAATCATTCTAGGGTTTCTTGGGTGGTGCGAAATGGATTTCGTCCATCCACAGTATGAACCCCTTTGTTTCAATGGTGGTTTGAACCCAAGGGAAGAGATAAGAAAGATTGCATCCTGCCTGGGTTCCTTCTGAGCGTTTGTGCATTTGGCAATACGCGCTCCTTTCTCTTGGACATGTGCTGGGACCCTCAAATTACCCATAAAAAGTGAAATCACCCCATAATTTTGGGGTTAGCCAATTTTGCAGTTGGAATTTCGAGGGATCAGGTACTCAGTTTGCACTCCATTGATGCAAGCCATGCGCTTTCACGTATTGCATGAGCCGCATCCTGCTCGAGCGAAGTCGTGTGTCGGGTTGACGAAAATGGCGTGCGTTCGCTTGCTCGATGGCACGGAAGTGATGACCGCCGCGGAGTATTCCATGTGGCGGGAGGAGCTGCGCGGACACGAAGATGTGGACTGTTTGTTCCACGCGTTGCGACGTCATTTGGCCAAGAGATTCCCAGTTATCTATTGGCATCCTATTTTCATGCTAGGAGTTCAATGAAGATGAGCCAACAACCACATTCTGAATGATGTTGCACCTGGCCAAGAGATGCCGAATTTCCCATGAGTACCCGGTTTTCCTCCTCCCCCCTTTTCTCGCTTGCCCAAAGCGAATCGACCGTTTGAACCTTTGGGCTTTCCCGACTTGTTGGTCGATTTTTGGCCCAAAAGGTGGAGCCTTGAAAAAAATATGGGTCCTTTGGACTGAGTTTTGGCTGGATGTTTCTTCAAGATCAACCGGAAGTAGCCTCCCCCAGACGATTCAACTTGGAAGCTCCCGAACAAACCCCGAAATGGATGGAAGACTTTCCATTTACGCGGCCTTCTGGGAGCTTCCGGGAAGTTGCGTCTGAGGGAGTGTCATGATATGGGTGTGGTCTGAAAATTAAACGATCGGAGGGGCAAACCGCAGGTTTTGGTCCATGTTTCCACTTAACATGGCAACCCGTTTTGGGTAATTACCGGTTTTTTGACCCACAGCCATATATGGTGCTGTCTGCTTTCCGGCGACGGACCAAATCAGGATTGCGTTTGCCAAATTGGAGGCAGCTAGCGCTGGCCGGTGGCCGAGGCATGTTGGGGCCAGAGAGTCCCTGGGAGAATTCTGAGTGCCTGACGGCTATTAAGCGGCAATATGTTGAGGCAGCGTCAGGTGAAGCAGTCGGTCTGGCGGTTTGCATTTGCTTGCTACAAGCGACGGAAGACGGCAACACGGAGCAGGTGCTAGAGATGTTGGAGAAGCCTCATCATCCCAATGCGGCTGGCAGAAACGGCCGTAAGACACCGTTGCATTATGCTTCTGTAAACGGCCATTTGGACCTTGTAAAGTGCTTGCTGGATGCTGGTGCTGACAAAGAGAAGGCTGACATTGCGGGCAGAGCACCGTTGCACGCTGCTGCACGCATGGGCTATAGGGCTGTTGTGCAGTGCTTGCTAGATGCTGGTGCTGACAAGGAGATAGCAGACAACGTAGGCTTTACACCAATGCATTTTGCTGCATGGCAGGGCCATTTGGCAGTTGTGCAGTGCTTGCTGGATGCCGGTGCTGACAAAGTGAAGGCAGACAACAAAGGCTGTACACCATTGCATCTTGCTGCACGGCAGGGTTCTCAGGCAGTGGTGCAGTGCTTGCTGGAGGCCGGTGCTGACCAAGAGATGGCAGACAACGAGGGCTTTTTGCCATTGCATGTTGCTGTAGGGCAGGGCCACGAAGCAGTTGTGCGGTGCTTGCTGGCTGCTGGTGCTGACAAAGAAAGGGCAGACAATGCCGGCAGATCATCGCTGTATATTGCTGCATGGCAGGGCCACGAGGAAGTTGTGCAGTGCTTGCTGGTTGCCGGTGCTGACAAAGAGAAGGCAGGCAACGACGGAGCCGTACCATTGCATCTTGCTGCATGGCAGGGCTATCCGGCAGTTGCGCAGTGCTTGCTGGATGCCGGTGCTGACACAGAGAAGACCGACAATGCGGGAAGATCACCGTTGCATACTGCTGCACGCAAGGACCATCTGGCAGTTGTGCAGTGCTTGCTAGGTGCCGGTGCGAACAAGGATATGGCAGACAACAACGGCTTCACACCATTGCATCTTGCTGCATGGCAGGGCCATCAATCAGCTGTGCAGTGCTTGCTGGATGCTGGTGCTGACAAAGAGAAGGCTGACCGTGCGGGAAGATCACCGCTACAAAACGCTGCACGCAAGGGCCATCATGCAGTTGTGCAGTGCCTGCTGCATGGCGGTGCGTTGACCAATGCCGCCGAGCCTTCACAGTCAGAAAATTGCAGCATGGCTTGATCTAACAGCCGGCGCTGATAAAATCAATGCCAACAGCGGGTCCTTGGGGGTTGCGTTGCTGTGTAGTTTTTGATATTACACCTCCCAATTACACCACACTCTCATTGCAGAACCCCCTTGTTCAACGCCCACCCAGCCTACAAACTTTCCGGATATAGGCCATTGCCCAACGAATCGCTAGGTGGGGGACGAACTCCATCTAAGATTCCCACCGGCTTTGGGCGCTCTGAGTCATGCGTTGGAAGTTCCTGGGTTTGGCACGGCGGAAAGAAAGGGAGGCTGAATGTGGGTCTCGGCGAACTTAAATGGTTATTGCCCCAAGATTCTGGCGATGATGTTTTGGGGGGTACCCCTTTTCTGCTTGTTTGGGTGTTTGGGAACCCATAGGGTGCGGTGTTCCTCTTCTTTTTTGTTTTTTGACCCATCCAGATTTTCTCCCAAAGAGACGTGAGCCCTGCAGAGTCCAAACTGGGGGCTAGGGAAGAGCCATGGAGTCTGGTGGACTCCCATGGCCCAGAGTCTCCTTCTGTCCCCCGAATCAAAAATGGTGGGTCAGACTGCCCAAAATTTTAAGGGGGTTATGACTCAAACCATTTTTCACGGGTCAGAAGGAGACTCCAGGTTTGAACCATGCGCATGTGGATGCTGGCGAAGTCAGTTCGCTTCTCGCACCAAGGAAATGTTACGTTCGGCGTTCAATCCGAAGGTTTGTTGGTGTTTTACTGGAGAATCCAATCATTCTAAAACGGGTTCCTGAACGGTTTTTGCGTTTTACGTTGGATGCATTTCGCAGCCATTTGTAAGCAACATGGCTCACACAAAAGCGCGGCAGGTGCAAATGGGCCACCCTTGGAGGGTGGTATGGCCTCAGAATTTGTGGAGTGAAAACCCCAGATTTTCTTCTGGGTGGTTTCAGGGTCGTGCCAAGTCCCAGAAAGTCGTTGCCCCAAACCTGCGGGGAGACTTGCCCTGGTGAGCGCGAGCTCCGCGAGCTCCCGTCTTTGGGGCACCCGGCCGATTTGATCTGCTTTTGCCCTCAGAAACTTCTCACCAATCCAGGCGTTCCGAGCCATCCGGTTCCTGAGGTTCTTAGAGCTCTTTGGTTGGTTTAGAGGTGGGGTTTCCTTTGAACCCACTAATTTTTTGGGGACTTAAATTACAGCCGGGGATCAGTTTGGTTGGACAGCAAGAATGAGGCGACCAACACCCAATGAACGCCCCTTCAACGAAAACTCCGAACTCTGCGGGCACCAAATTGGGGCTCAATCGCAAGAAAACGAGCCCTTCGACCGCTTTCCAGGTCACTTGGAAGTTCAACTTACTTGGTATAGGTTACAACCATGGGGAAACTGGTTGGTAACTCGGGTTAGTTGGCGAAAAAGCATGGTTATAACCTCCCTGCTCCAGAATAAGGGTATGTTTCCAGGACGACCGATCGGTTTTCCAGGTAAATGCCATCTTTTGTGGTGAAGGGTTGACATCATAGCCCAAAAAACGTGGGATATTGTTTGGTTGTGTGGGGGAACCTACTTCCCTGGCTTGAGCTTGAATAGTGCATTCAAGAGTATGGTTCTAACCTACCTAAATCCTCAAACCATCCTTAAGAAATGGGCTTCACGCCAGAATGTACCATTGTTTAGCGGAAATTTGAGGGTTCAGGAAGTTGTTAGTAACCCAGGCTGTAACCCACTCCTAAAGGTACCCAAAAGCTTTGAGGGTCCAGGTGTTTTGCGGGTCCGGGTGCTTCCCTGGCGTCTGACCATCCAAGCCCCGTGTTTTTCATGGCTCTCGAGGAGCACTTTGTGCCTGTGGACACCGAATCGGAGTCCGAGTCCGAGGACGAGGCGAAAGAGGTGCGGGCGGTGGGGTGCGATGGGACGGTGGGGTCCATTTTTGAGATGCGAAAAGGGCAACATATATTATTCACCTGGACCCTCAAAATACCAACTGAAGAAATGCTTCTTGCCCCAAAAATTACACTGTGAGATGGCACCTGTAAAGCAGTCCCTGACCCATATCCGTACCTCCCAAACTACCTGAACATGCCCACCTGAAATTTTAAATACTGAGAGGCTCCGCTCAGCTTCGGCTTATGGAAGACCCCGTTACGGGTGAGGCGTTGGACAATTCCCCGCTAACCGGTGTTTGGGGGTCTCCAAACCTGGTTCTGTTAAATCGGGCCCAAAGAAATCGGGGGAGCCTCTTGGTACACACAAGAAATCAAACATCGGCAAACCAGTCCACTTTTGGTGGGTTAAATGAAAGCTACCGCACACGCACGGCTGGGAACCACCAACTATATCCAATTTCAAAAAGTATTTTGAGGGTCCAAGTGTGAGGGAGCAAACATCATCAAGCCTAAGGATCTTTTCAAGAACCCTCCATTTGACCGGGGGTTCTTAAAGAATTGGAACACCTTTGGTTTATGCAACGCCTCATTTTTGCGGATGCCTCATTGATATTTCGAGGGGTCCAACGTGAAGGGTAAGAAGTCGAATCAAACTTGGGACTCCGACACAACCATCACGTTGAAAAGGACAAGGGACGAAATGACTCCCTCAAAATCCCAACGTAGAAATGGTGGGCAAGTTGCCTGCCCCAACATGATGCTTGGTGGTCTCCAACTGCTTTATGGGTAGTTTGATGTTCGACCTACTTAGTAAGCAGGTTATAACCTACTTTCAAGCTTTTAGCAGAGGATCTGAGGACAGCCCATTTCCCCCTTTTTGTTCTGCCTGTTATTCTGCCTGTTGCAATGGAACCCACCAGTAAATTTATCAACTTGAGGGCCAATCCAGTGCCCCCTGGTGATTTTTGAGGCTTGGTACATCTTGGTACCATTTTGATTTGCCACAAGGTTGCTACTCGCTTCCTGAGTTTCTGGACATACTTTGAGGCTTGGGCCATTTGAGTGGCAAACGAAACGTTCTGTGACTTGTTTTGGCAAATCCACTCAAGCGAGGCCCTATTTCCACACACCCAAAAGTTGATAAGTCGGCCTCACGCTGCACACACGCGACAAAGACGCCCAAGCGGTAAGGTCTGCGGCCCAAGACATTGCGCTGTTTCCCCGAAGCAGTTTTCAGACCCTGCATAGGGAACTCTCGATTGGTGTTGGCTTTGGTTCCCTGTCATCATTTCATTGCAAGAATGTCAGCTTATATTTCGACGCAGCATGAGGAATAGTACGATGCTTCATCGTATCATGAGAAATATTACATCGTATTGCATCTTGAGAGATAGTACGATGCCACAGCGTATCATGAGAGATAGTACGATACTACTTCCAGGGCCTTTGCTTTATGGGCCGTCTGGATGCTTCAGGGAGCCACAATCAAAACCTGGGTAGGTGAAGGTTAGTAAGGGGCAGTCCCAGCCATAAATCGCTGCGGCCACCTTCTTTGTTCTTTCAGTGGTTCTGGGTAGACCATTTTAGTACCGGGTTTTGATTGTGGCTCAGGGGGAACCTCCAACCAGTTTGGGGTCTTTGGGGGCTTGGGGTAAGTTCGGCTCCCTGAATGCTTGTCAGGCAACCACACCTCCTGCTCCTGCTCCTGCTCCTGCTGCGAAGGCGGGTCAACCTACCCCCTGGTCCAAATACCCTCTTTGTCTAGCAGACCTGGATGGACAACATCCACTTCGCAGCAGTGGGGATGGATGAATCCTCAAGGATAAACACCAACTGGCGCCTATCGCCCATGCAATGTGTTTTTTCTCCCCAAACCCAGAAGTTGGACGAAATGGGCTCACCAGATTCAGCACCTGGGCCCCCAACAACTGCTTGGTACCATGTCCAAAATCCTCCCAGTTCTGTCCAAAAATGCAGTGGTTGGGACCCGGGTGCTGGGGATTCGAATCCCGCCCGCGGCCTTTCTTGCGGGCCGTGGGGTCGCATGTTTGCCCTAGGGTTCCTTGCCCCAGTAAAAGGATGGCAACCAAGGGGACCCAATTGTTAGATGATGACAATCCGGAGGTAACCTATGGTGGTTATGAACCCAACCATTGTTTTAATCGTGTGGAACTGAACCGCTGGGGGTCAGGCTGAACACGCCACAGATTTCGGCTTTCCTTTTGGTGTTCCTTTAACAAAAAGGTATGCCAAAGTGGGTCGATCGTCAAACATTTTAGGCTACCCGGAACCCCCATAATTTTTCAGTGGTCCCTCAGGATGCTGGGGAGCAACCCATCGATTTAACGGGTGTGAATGTTAAAAACGGGGACCCCACATGGACGTCATTTGGGGATTCAAGTCCACCAACCACTTAGGGCGGGTCCAACTCTGCAAAATCACAGCCAGATGGTTTCACAGAAATCGGAAAATCAAGTGTTAAAAAGCTCGGCTTTGGGCAAGTGAGACTAGTTGGCCAGTTACCCCAGGAAAGAAAACGGGAATTCCGCCGCGAGTCCAGGCAGCCGCCAAGTGAGCGATGGCCTTTTTTTCGGGGAAAAAGACGGAGCGCGGGAGCGTGTGTGTGTGTTTTGTTCCACGGTTGCCCTCCTTGAGGTGTTGCCTACACCCATGGAGATCCAATTCTTTGAGACCCCCCGGTAAAATGGAGGGTCCTTGAACAGATTCCCAGGCTTGATGATGTTTGCTCCCTGCCGCTTGGACCCTCAAAATACTCTTGGATATGGGTTATAGCCCCCAAAAGTATGGGGTGAATGCCCTTTGTTGTCACGAATTGAACCTTGCGATCCTAAAGTACGCGTGCCCGTACAAAAGCCGACGAGATTCGGCCGCTACCAAAAAAGCGAGCAAAGCGAGCGGGCGGGAGGCGCACAGGTCCGGGTTCACACAGCAGGTTTGAATTTCAGTCCGCAAAGTTACTTTGGGTCAATCCGGAGCTCTAGTACTATTGACTATTGTTGGGTTGACCTAGTAGGATCCTCCGGAGGAATCCAACTTTAGCACCACCATTGATTTGGCTAAGCATAGAACGGCCGGTCAGAAAGGCCCTGACAACCTTGCTAGATTGGTACTGGATATCATTTCATTGCAGAGAGTTTTTGCCAATTCTCATGACATCTTGGTGTTGCACCACCCTTTAAACAAGTACCCCCTACTCCAAATACTCGCTTTGCTCAGGGTCTGGGGGGAAATGCCACCTTTCTAGTCAGGGGTTGACATCATTTGAGCCACAATCAAAACCTGGGTAAGTGAAGGTTAGCAAGGGACGATCCCAGCCATGAATAGCTGCGGCCGCCTTCTTAGTTCTTTATGTGGCTCTGGGTCGACCATCTTTGTACCGGGTTTTGATTGCGACTATACTGGGTATGGATCCAAATTAAACCGCCAGGAATTTGACCGCAGGTTTTAGTCCCTGTTTCCCCGGGTTGATTTTTGGGTACCTATGTGACTCATTTGACATCATACCCTGAAAACAGCGGGCCGTTGGGAGGTGACGGGGGCAGGAACGAAGGTGGTTACCTGCCAACTGGCGCGCAAGCACCATGAAGTCCGGGGGTCAGTTCTGCGAGTTGTGGAGGACTTAGCCCCACACATTGCCCATTTCTCTCCCACCAGCTCACGTGGAAGTGCAAAAACCCAGTAGAAAGACTATTGTCCTCTTGGAAAGGGCCTTTTTGCACTTCCATGTTAATTGGTGGGAGGGCTTTGCTGGGTAGGATTTGTCAACCCTTGACTCAGAATGGAGGTAGTTACCCTGGAAAACCCAGGTTTTCCAAAACAAAACACAACAAGAGGGTATTTGGAGTAGGTCGGCTAAAAAGCTCCGCCCCTGCCATTCGCTCGGTTTCTATGGGGGGAATCAGACGGAGGAGGCGGATTCGCCAGGGACTGAAGTCACAGTCCACAAAAGCAAGCACCAGAGCACTCAAATGTAGGAATCAACGACCTATTTGGACCCTCAACACATCAACTTGAACATGGGTTATTGCGGTTATAGCAACCCAAAGTTATGCTGGTGAAATCGCCATGATTTGAAGGGTTTGAGCGTCTCGGTCTGGGTAATTACTTTGCTACGTGCCCAAAGCAGAATTCAACGGGTTCTTCCTGAACTTTAGTCACTTTTTGGGTCTGAGGCATGTAAGCTGCGAGCACACAGAGCTAGGACTTGTTTTGACCAATCCAGTCAGGTACCACCTTTGGTGCTTTCCTTTTCCCGCCACTTGGATGTTCGATTCGCTAAGTTAATAAGTTGTTAGGTTCCTGAATTCTAACCAGCCATTAATTCCCCCTAAGTAGAGTGAATATTGTGCGAAGTTGGTAACCTAGGTTACCAACAAAGTTGGCGAATCGAAGATCCAAGCACCCACCTGAACCCTCGCATGTTCAACTTAAGCACTGGTTCTGACCCCAACATTAATTATCGAACCCCAAAATTGTTCAACAAAATTGGTTATAACCCTGAACCCCCAAATGATTGGTGAAATCCAATCTTAGTGAGTAATTATTTCGGGTCCGATCGGCAGTTTTTAGTACCCTGTGTCCCATTTGGAAACTCTCAAAGGATACTTGGGAAAACACTTGGCAGCAGCTGCAGCTCCAAATCTTCGGAAAGGACTGGTGTTTGGATGTGGGGGGTTGATCAATTTTCCACCCTCAAATGGGCATGGGTCATAACCTATGCCTCCATTTTGAGCGAATAAACACCCATGTACCACCGATTTTGATGTTCACCAGGGGTACAGGTTTTGACCCACAGCCAAATGATCGTGGGCAAATTGTTTTGCCCGTGTGGGGAAAGTCAACTCTTTTTCGGTGGCTTCCCTGGTCATCCAATGTCAGTAACCTTTTGATCAACCCCCATGTATCCCCCCTACTCCAAATCCTTGTTTCTTTGTTTTGTATTTTTGGAAAGCCGATCGGTTTTCAAAGGCAAATACCTGGGGGGTATCTTTTTGTCGGAATCCAGTTTCGGACCGACTCTTGGACCATAAAGGCCTCTTCGAGGACCCGTGAACGACGCTTAGGGGCATGGTGAAATCCGGCCAAACACCGGAATCGTTGTTGAAATGACTTGGTGTTTTAAGGTTGTTGGCCCCAGATTAATGAACCTCTGTTTATTGATATGGGGGTCCCTGGTTTTAGTAGGGAGTTGTCACTTTTGGAGGGGGACCTCCCCTACATTAATCAACAGGGGTTTTTAAATCCGGGATCAACATCATGAACCCGGCACCACACATCGGTTTGATTGGGAGGCAACAGCGGTAGAAGGGTACTGTCAAACCAAGGCGAGACGTCAACGTTTCTGAGCGTCGAAGATGTGATACACCCGACGAGACGAGTGGGTTGGGCGCATGTCTACCTGGACCCTGGCTTACCCCCAAATTTATGCGGTGGAATTTCATTAACCCTCCGGGTAGTTTGAGGGTTCAGGTACGCTTTTGGACACGTGGGGCTCCTCACCCTAACACCCACTCAACAATGGGTTATTGCCAAAATTGGGCTTGGTGAGTTCCCTTTTATTTGCGGGCAGTTAGTTCGGGTCCAGATTGTTTCCGTCTTTTCTGATTCAAATTCAAAGCCAGCTAATTTGGGGATCCCCTCAGACCTGCCTAGGGGCAACATGACCCCAGACCTCAAATCATAGGTTCTTGGGACTCCGCAACAACATACTTGGGGGTTCGATTCGCGAAGTTAAGTTGTTGGTAGCATAGGTTCTATCATCCACTTTTATACAAGCAACCAGTTCGATGTGGCATGTTGAGCTATGAAGGCGTAATCCGAATGGGGGCAATCATCTCCGACTGGAGGACATTGTCCTCAAGTGCCAGCCATTGGTGCACTTCCTTAAATTGGACGAGTGTAGATGTTGGTTGAATCCGGGGTCTCCTCCAAACATTTTCTTTTTTTTGTTTAGGAGTTTCATTAAAAAGGTTTTGCAGTGAGTGGCAAACAAACAGTGTGGACCTTGTTTGGGTCAATCCACTCAAAGGCAGTGGCAAGGCACAAAGAGAAGCGTTGTTTGCTTGGGTACATTACATTGTGGCCACATGGGTGTTTCTTGAAATAGGGGTTCCCAAAATGGTTGGTTTTCTGTTGGCTTCCTTTGCATACACAAAGAGTGATCCACATTTTTGAGCAACTCCCACATGATATATGCTTCTCGGGAATACTCACTTGTTTGCTTTCTTTGTTTTGGGCGCAGTCAAGCCAAACAACTAGAGCTCAAACGCGTTTTCTGTGGTGCAGGGGCACTGGCAGGTAGTCACGAATTCTGTCGCATAAATGAAACACGTGCTTCTCCAGGCTTGGTGTGGACCCGAAAGAACTACCCTCGGTGAAAGTTGGAATTCTCCGACCATATTTTAAAGGCAGTAAATCCATTGCGCACCACTTTGAAACGATGGGAAACCATTGTTGGTATTTGCAGGGGAATCATCGTTCCGGGTCTCTTCGGTGCAGGATTTCGCGTCCATCCACAGTATTGTTTAGGGTATCTTGAGGGTCCAGATAGCTCTTGTCATAACTTGAAACGATGTTCTGTTTCATTTCCAGGTTCTCTGAGCACGTCAGGGCAGCAGACCCACTTGGAGCACAAATCAAGTACAGGTAAGTGAGGTGCAGGTTAAGGCTAACTAGAATTATGAAACACAATCTAGGTCCTCCAGAAGTGCCTCTTTTAATCTTTTTGGGGGAGGTTTCCCCTACTGAATTAGACTACAGAAAAAAAAAGGTACCCTTGTTCTAACCTCTCTACTGGAGGACCTAGATGATTTTGGAGAACCCAAGGACTGGGGTCTACCAGCCAAGGTAACATAACTGCCCCAAGCATGCAGAGCGGATTGCAAGGATGTGCGTGCCTTTGCGGCGCGTGCCAAAGCACCTTGCCTTCGGTGCATCAGGATCCGTGGAAAGGAAGATGTGCTTCTTTGAGCATCCCCTGCAAGATGCGAATTTCAGTAGGTGTCTGGTTGATGGGTTAGTTTGGGCAATGGAATAGATGGGTTCCACTTGCTTAGATCGGTTTATAAACCATTGGGCCCGTACATTGGGCGACGTACATTGGGCCCGTTGAGTGGGCTCGATCGCAAGCGACCGCACCGAGGTATGTTCCTTTGAGTATGCCATGTGTGTGTGGCTTATTCTGCCTTTTTTGTTTGCATATGCATCGCGTGTTTGAAGGTGGCTCCGAACCCCGCGAGGATAGACGCGCACGTTGGGAGGATAGGGAGGGGGGGGCATTCGACTGAAATCCTTTAGCCTTCTTTAAATTAAGTACACTATACGCAAATATATTTATATATAATTAAAATGGTTGAATGCCATTGGCTTTGCTTGTGTCGCTATAAGTCCGCTCAGGGATCCTGACTCAAATGCAGGCGCGACGGCTTATGCCAAACGTCAGCTGCACAAAGCGCCCGGCTTCTTTCGAGCAAAGACAGACCGGAGCAAGCCGCGGAGTAGCCAGATGGGTAGGGGGTTTAGTGCCACATCTTCCCCCATGCAGCAGGATGGGCTAGTTTCTGAGTCTCCTTTTTCTTTCTGGGTTCTGGGATCAAAGACCCGAGACCCACAGTCGTGCCCCTTGTTTTTGGGAGAGGGTGTGCCTTTGAAATCAAGCAAATGGCCATCTAAAGCCATATCATACAGAGGTTCAAAAAGAAAGGCCTCACCCCACCCCACCCCACCCCACCCCACACCACACCACACCACACCACACCCCACCCCACCCCACCCCACCCCCGAACTAAGTGGACATGAATCACCGAAGTCTGTCTACCATTTCGTGTCACTCCAAACTTCCATGGACCTGAATCTCTTAGGGGGTACCGGGAGTACCCTCCATTTCCATTTCCAGGGATCCGAATCTTTGTAGAAAACCTCCGAAACCCAGGCAAACGGATGCGGTTTTTGGAAAGAACCATGCTTGAACAGAATGGAATGGGGAATCAAACCCTAGAAGTCTGACAATTTTGTTTTTGGTCTACAGAGTTGTTTGCCAACTGAAGTAAAGGCGCCGAGTCCCGTCGAACTTTTAAGCTTTCGGTTTCCCCGTCGTGGCAACCAGTTTTCGTCATGGACCCGAAAGGTGATCCCCTGATATACTTCCAGATCCGACTTGTCTTGCAGAGTCGTAGTCACATGTCTATTGAGTACATCTGGTCGTGTTTGTTTGAGTTGCTACCCTTTTTGGGCTGGTTCGAGGGGAAGCTAAACGGGACATCAATCATGCATTGTTTGCTTTGGGGGGTCCAGTCCAACTAATTTTGGCCCACACCGCTGCATACCCATCTACTGTAAAGACTAGGTACCCAGGACGCATAGGACTCCGTTTTGGGTTAGTTTGGCTAGACAAATACCTGGGTGCAACGGGTTTGGATGGGTTTGATGGACCATTTGCCAGGGCCATCTCTTTCTCCGCAAGGTCACCTCTGGTTCTGAGGGGTTGACCGCCCGGGGCAAGCTTCAATCATTGTTAGGCCTGTGGGAAAAGCGCGGGCCAGTGGTGAGCCTTTGGGCACCTAAAACCCTCAGAATTTCCCTCAAACAGTTGTTATTGCCCAACCCAGTTGCCCTGTGCCGCCCAATTTTGCAGTTTTTTTGGAGAAGGGGGGGGAAGGGCTAAGGATTCCCCTTCAAAGTCAAAAACAAAATGCCCTTTTTTTCCATGGCCACTGGGCATCTGAGTCAAACGTACGGGGGTGAAATTTCCCTTTCTTGTGGGTAGTCTAAGGGTTTTTGGTGTCTAGCAGTCAGCTACTTGGGGCTCCGTAGTCTTCAAACGAACATTCCGATTCGATCGATCGATGCTCAAGCCATGGGCGTGGCCATTGCCGTGGCCATGGGTAAAACAACACGTGTGCTCCCCCCAAAAATGAGCTTTTCTCGGAACATGTCTTCTATGTGTAGGCTTTTCGGGAAGACCACCTCAGTGCACGGTAAATAAGCATGGTTGGCCGTTTTTGGCCTGTCCACCCAGGAAGAGGGTTCGTATGAAACCGAGAACCCGAAGGAAGTAGCGCAGAGCTGTGTCAAGAAAAGTCAGGGACACTGTCCCCCCCAACTTCTGGACTCTAGGCACTTGGGCCCAGACCGTGGCAAGCGCAAAAGTTTGGACTTTGGAGTCCAGAAAGTGAGAGCCACCCAGTGGGTTTGTCTTTTCTCCAGGCTAGTCTCGTTGGGGTGGCACCTGCGGCACCCCGCGCCCTTGGGGGGAGCCATGGCGCTACTGACAGAGGAGGAATGCCAGGCCAGGGCGTCTGACGGAAGCATGGAGGTCTAGTTATGGACCCCCTAGGGCTATCCGTGGATAAGCCTAAGACCAGGACAAGCCCTTAATAAGCTAGGTCCCCCAGTAGTGCCCTTTTACCAACCTTTTTGGCTGCGAGGGTTCCCCTACTAACTAAACTTTATTCTATCCTCTCTACTGGAGGACCTAGCAAAGCCTTCAACCATTCTCACTCCGGGTGTTAAAAGAACCAAGTCCAGGGCCCAGTAAATGCCCTAGATATTGCAACGGAATCAGCTGGACACCCTGTAAACTCCATGGAAGTTGTGGCAGCGGTTTACTCGCGAAGATTGGGTTGCATCCACAGGGCTCGAACCGGACCCTTAGGCCCAAAGCTTTCCACATCCCAGCTCACTTCAACAGAGGTGCCCGAAATCTGATTAGCTTCACCATAGTCAACATTACAACACTATAAGCATTGTTAACTAACTGTTTCTGGCAGGTGCTTTATGCTTCATGTTTGTTTTCTGGCTCTGTCCATGTCGGGTGGCTGCAAAACACTGTTTTGTTGCGAGCAACTGCGGGTGAAAGCTCTGACTTGTTTCTGTCCGGATTGGGCATACCTGGGCCGATTCATGTTGCCAGGTGACGGAGCACCTCCAAACCACCAATTAGAGGGTTATGCTGGTATTTGAGTACTGATTCACCAGGAGAGGCAGGTCTTTTTTCTAGGACAGAAGAGGCATGGGGCACTTTCTTCTAGGGGTACCTTCCCCATTCTTTCCAGGGATTCTTCTTTCTAGAAAACCTCCGGAAACCCAGGGAAAACGGCCGATTTTTGGAAAGAACGATGGTTGAAAAGAATGCGGAATCAACCCCTAGAGTTTCTAGCAAGTTCCTAGGCTTTCGATCGGAAGGTGGATGCCGTGATCTTGGGCACTGGTCTGCCTGAGTCCATTTGCGCTGCCGCGCTGGCGCGCGCCGGGAAGAAGGCGGGAGGTGTGTGTCGGTTTGATGGTACCTGAACCCTCCACTTCCACTCGCTGAAATGAATATGTTGTTATTCTCAGTTGTTCAAAGCGAATCGACCTGAAATGACCTTCTGGTTTCCCTTTTTGGGATGCGCGTTTAGAGGTACCAAAACGTGATCACTTTGTATGTCCAAGTCCGAGAAGGGCAAGTGAGTATGTTTTCCCTTGTTGGCTTTATAGGGAATGCCTGGATCGCCAGTGGCTGTTTTTTCCATCTACTTTACCCCAACAACCAGCAACAGTGACTGAAAAAAGCGATCGCAACTTGGCTATCTAGGTGTCTCGCTGGACATATGTCGTGTTTGGCTGCTCGAAACCACTTCAGCCAATGCAGGTCAAATTAATTGCCCTTGGGATAGTAGAACAGGAAGCGGAAACCGAAGCCATGGAGGACATGCCCGTTTTCAGCCTGAGATCAGCTTGGTTTTGCCTGAGCCTGGACCTTTTTTCTCTGCCCTTTACAAAGGGAATCCAACAATAATGTTGGGTTGCAAGAACCTATTGTTGAGGCCAGTTTCAGGGTGAAGGAGGTCTGTTTTCTTTACGGTTTCTGGGGTTTATCAAAGTCAGCAACTGGGGTTGGGCCCCTTTGACCACAGGGGTGACTTTGATAGTAGTAAAACGATTGGGACGGTTTAAAAGGCAAGCTTAAACGAAACCCGATTTGGGGAGGGTTCCCGATTTTGACACATACTGAGAGGGGTCTAATCTGGGTTTGGCACTGATAAGGGGTAAATCCAGCGATGCAACGCATGGTGCAGGTCCTTTGCAGGCGGACATCAAGTCCAAACCTTCACATAGAGGTCCCTAAAACCCCCAAACCCATGGAGAGTCCGAGATCAGATGCGTGAGCATATTGAACATTAATGTTGACCCTTTTTGTTGATATGGGGTGTGCCCCTGCAAAAGTGATGATTCCCACTAAAACTAGAAATGGACACCCCCATATTAACAAACAGGAGTTCTGCTTAATCCGGGGTCAACATTACATCACTTTCCATAGTGAACTCTGGAACCGACCAGGCTCCTGTGAGCCACAATCAAAACCTGGGTAGATGAAGGTTAGTAAGGGATAATCCCAACCATAACTAGCTGCGGCCGCCTTCTTAATTCTTTACATGGTTCTGGGTAGACCATTTTAGTACCGGGTTTTGATTGTGGCTCCTGTGCCTAGGGCCTCCGTAGAGATATTGGTATTGCTCAAATGATGGACCCCATGGTGGTTGGTTTCCTTTTCGTTTTCCTTTCAAGCCATTCAACAAGGGTTCCCCTATTCCGAAACTGACGCATATGGCCATGAATTTGAATAGGGAATCCCCTCAATATGAATTCCCACCTAAATGATGTCCCCCAAAGCGCCCCCATCCCTAAATAAGGCTAGGTCCCCCAGTAGTGCCCTTTTACCCTTTTTTGGGGGAGGGTTCCCCGACTAAAATAGACTACAGAAAAAAGGGTACCCCTATTCTAACCTCTCTAGTTCAGGACCTGGAAGGGTTCAATTCCATCACCCTAAGTATTTTGGGCCTCCAAACAGCTCCTTTGTGAGATCGTCCGGTTCGTCCTCTCCAAAGGGATCCGTCCCTTTCTTGCATGTTCCTACTTGGCGGGTGATAACCAAGGTACCTGGAGTCTCCTTCTGACCCCTGGAAAAAGGGGTCATGACCCCTTAATGTTGGGTAATGACCCTATTTACATACCTTCACCCTCAAGCTACCAATTTGAGGAGATTGGATTTCACGAACCATCATACTGGGCTTGCAATCGCCCATATTTATGCATTTTGAGTCTGGTAGGCCATTGCCGATGGCACGCCAACCCCCAATCTCGGTCACCTTGGTTTTTACCCGCTGACGTCGCAGGTTGCACATGCCGTGAAGCACAAGGAGGCACCTTTCGGAAAGCTCAGGTGAGGTCAAACCCCAGCCCAGAAGCCCCCGGAAATAAAAACGTACAAAAGCATACAAAACATGTCCGACAGCCCCGGAAACCCGAGACAAAGCACGTTTCAACGAATCTTTAGCTCGCTCGCTCCCGGAAATCCCTGACTCGGCTTCGGTTTTTTGCGTCTCGCGAACGAGGTGCTGCACTTAGACGCCTCCGAGAACTACGGGGGCCCCTGGCGTAGTCTGCCGCTGCGGGAGCGCCTCGAAGCCGACGGCTGACGTGTTTTTTTGGGTTTTCGGGTGGTTTGACCCATTTTGGATGTTTTGCTTTGGGTGGCTTGACCCATCCTAGATGTTGTAAATGGGTGGTTTGACCCATTTTCCTAAGAATCTTTGGGGTGTGCATTGGAGAACCCGGGTCTTGCATTGGAGAACCTGGGGCCAAGTACTGTGTCTGAGAGAGCCCGGGGGTGTGGGGGGGGGGGACACAGTGCTGACGCCCCGACGCCCCGAAGGATGCAGATTTAAGGGCCATGAGACCATGAAAAGTGTTTTTATGTGCGGTGGGCACAGACTCTACTCGTGTTTTCAGTAGCGCTTTAAACAGCTTCTCTTTTTGTTGTCCAGTTCTTCTTGCATGCTGCCGCCCGCTTCCAACCCTCCTCTTGACAATGATTGCCGTTGCTTTCTCCCTCGTTCCAGCATATTTGGTTACTCTAAAATTTATATCTCACGCCCTATTCCAGTTTTCTGAATTATAGATGTTCACAAGTTGAGAATGGAGAATTAACAAGGATAATTAACAAGGATCTGTTACAACTCCAATAGAAGGCTTAGAAAAAGAAGAGGAAGACGAATCAATTAGATGAACTAACTGTAAGAGGTAAACAACCATAAACGACAACAAAGTGAATGATAAGTTGATACTGCGAGAGTGCAAAATTCAGGAATCTGCAAAATAACAGAATATAAAAAAGCAAATGAAGTGACCATAAGTTTAATGACATTTACATATTCGCACAAAATATGGGGTGACATCCCATTTTAAAGGGTAGTTTGGGGATCCCGGGGTGGCTCGCCCTTTGATGAGGCAACCCGTAGTCCTTTTTTTGCGGGGGAGGGGGGGGGGGGTTGAAGGGAAACCAAGAGGAATTCGACCTGTTTTTTTGAAGGGCAGTGGCTCGATTTTTTCGTTGAGTGGCACAAAGAAGCCCTTGTTGTTGTTTTTTTTTGGGGGGGGGGCGCAAAAGTCAGGGGTTTAAATAGACCTGTTTTGTACCTCATTTTGGCGGTCCAGAAAGCAAGCAAGCCAGCCAACCGAACGAGAGTTTTGGGGGTGGGGTTCCGGACCAGCGGATTGACACGCACGATTTTTTCTCAGGTATGCCTCCTGGGCGGGCGGGCGTGCAACCATGCTGGGTGACGGCGTCAAGGCCAGCGAAGCATTGGATTTGGTTTGAGGGCACCCTGTTCAGGGAACCACAGAATTGTTCGGGGTTCAACATGATGGTTTCTCTTGGTACGGGTTGGGAGGCACCATAAAGGAAAGCCAGCGGCTGCGATATGATTCTCGTGAGGCAACCTGTAGGTTTTGGAAGTGAGGCGACTGTCGTTTCGGAGACACCTTTTTCCCTGCTGAACAGGCAAACGCCAAGAGCATAGGTGTCCTTTTTGGTTGTCTTGCTTAAAAAGAAGATGGCCCTGGTTTAGCTGCAGGGCCATCCAATTCCCCTAACCGGACACTTACGACCAAGGGCCTTGTGACCGAATCGCCCATTTTGCGTCATGCTAAGCCAGCTGGGACCCGGGTTGATCACCAATTTAGGCACCCAGGAAATACTCTACCGGGAGCCTCCTTCCGACCCTTTTAAAATGGTTGGTCCGATTCCCCAAATTAAGATTCGGGTCAATCGACCCCCTTTTTTTTCTAGGGTCAGAAGGAGACTCCAGTCTATTTGAGGTAGGTTGAACATCCCTTGAATCACCCAAGGCTCCTGGAACTTTCAATGGAAGACCCGACCCCTCCATTCAACACCCCACTTCGGTGTTTGGGGGTCTCAAAACCTGGCGATTAATGAGGGCCCTAAAATGCATCGAATTGGAGCCTCTGGGCAAGGAGAAAGCCTTTGGGAAAGAAGCCCGTGATATCCCCAGCCCCCAGAATTTCCGCTTGGCTTCCAGCCATTCGGGTCCTTAGCTTAGCTCTTTTTCGATAAAACCAGGTATCCTTTCAGCAGCCTCCGCAAGTAGATTTTTTCACTTAAGGACACCTTTCAAGTAGATTCCTTTAAGTAGAGCCCCTCCTTTTCTGCCTTGCCCCTCCAAAGCAAACCTCGAAACGCAGCAAGGCAAACCTAGGTGCCTTCTTACAACTAGACCCCCTCCCGGTAGCCTGGGGGTTCAATGGCAACCGTTAAAACAATGATCAGGTTTACACAACCGATGTTTACCTAAGGATGGTCATCATCCAAATCGGGTCCTTGCCATAGTGGGGATTGAACCCTAGGGCGTCTAAGCAGACATGTTTTAGTCGATTCACTTTGGGTCCCTGGAAGGCCCTAAAGCAAACCCTGCTTTAAATACACCCCTTTAAGCAGACCCCCTATATCCCCCTTAAGCAGACCCCTAAGCATCTACCTTAACAATTGGTTGTAGCCCTAAAATATGGTTGATGAATTGCCTTCTCCAAAGGGTAGTTTGAGGGTCTCGGTAAACTATACCCCCTTACTTAATGTACCTAAACCTCAAACTCTTCTTCAAGGGATTCACCCGATAATGTTGGGGCTATAACCCAGTTTTAAGGAGAGCTTGAGGTTTTAGGTAAACTATACCTTGAAGGATGTAGGCCTTACACACACACAAACACCCACCTTGTTTTGGGTATGATGTCAGCCCTTTACTACAAAAGCAGATCTGTATTTACCCCAGTTTCAATTGATCGGTTTTCCAAAAAACAGAACAGTTTCCAAACAAGGCAAAGGGTATGTGGAGTGAGCTTTTTCCACCACATTCCCTCAACAATGGAGAAGGTATTTGGAGTAGGGAGTGGGATCGGTATTTATCCTGTTTCAACCGATCACCAAACAAGGCAAAGGGTATTTGGAGTGAGTGTTGTTCCAACTTTACCCTGGTTGCAACGGATCGGTTTTCCATCAAAGTACCAGTTACCAACTAAAGCAAGGCAAGGGGGTATTTGGAACTTACGGGGCTACCTGGACCCGCAAACTGCCCACAAAAAAGAGGGATTTCACCCTCTATAATTTTTGGGGTTAGAACCAATTTTTTACGGGGAATTCCGAGGGTTTAGGCAGACCCCAAGTAAAATATGCCCGTATCAAGCCCCTATTTGGGGCTTATTGGAGCTCCCTCTCCCTCCAGCCCCCATGCCCCCCAGCCCCCATGACCAAGCAAACCCCCCATTTCAGGCGCTTCAACTCGTAGGCCTTTGGCGACTTCCGCTCCCTGCCTCCCCACGCCTGGAGCCGCCTCTATCGCGGCTTCGGAGCGCCGGCCGGGAGGCGGGAGGCGGAGTGCGGGAGGGCTGCGGCCGAAGTCCCCAACTGGGATCCCCCAGTAGTGCCCTTTCTCACCGCTTCTTTTTTGGGGGAGGGTTTGCCTACTAAAATAGACTACAGAAAGAGAGGTACCCTTATTCTAACCTCTCTGCTGGAGGACCTAGTCAAAAGTCGAGATGAAGGTGTCCATTTGCTGAAATGAATATCTGTGTGTTGTTTTCGCTCGTTGTTTCTATTGTTGACCCAGGATTAACAAACCCATCCCATTATTCGGGTGGTGTTCCCTCCAAAAGTGATGAATCCCCGCTAAATGGGGACACCCCCCTATTAATCAACCAGGTGTATTTTGAATCCAGGGTTAACATGAAAGGGAATGCTGAATCGAACATACTATTTTCCTTTCTTGGTTTTAGAGTTGGTCGGGGAGATGAAGGATACTTCCATTTGGAGCCTCGTCCTCAAAAACCATGGTGGAAAAAACACCTGGGCCCTCAAACTGCCCAGAAATTCCATTTGCTGAAGTGATCTTGTTTGTTTGATTGTCCCTTCTTGGTTTTCAAGCCGGAATCTATCACTACTGGAATACGTCTGGTTTTTTTTTCTCCAGAGGGGCGAAGAAGCTTAAAGGCAAGCTTAGTGGTGGAACTTGACGAGTAAGCCACCGGTCCAGCCGTTTTTTTGGGGGGGGCGCTTTCTGGGGCCTCGGATTCGTAAATTCATCCGGGTGGCCCAGGAAGTGGCACGTGGCCAACACCTGGCTTCTATCCCACTGACTGGTATAAGTTCTTTGTTGCATTTTGCCAAGGGATGTTAGGAGTTTAACTTTTTGCCAACGAATTTGGGTTTTCCACTAAACCACTAAAAGTTATTCACTTTTAGCAGGGGAGCAGAAAGCAACCCAGCTTATATCCCACTGACTGGTAGATCAAGAATTACGATCAGTGTTGGCCCCGGTGGTCAGAATTCCCACAAAGAGGGATGCTCAAAAGTTTCTTTAGGGTTTTGTTAAGCGTTGCCCGTAGCGAATCGGCCGAAAATGGGTTGTGTTTCTTGAGGGTACCCCTTTTTGTTTGTGGTGTTGAAGGCAAACCAAAAGGAAAACACTGTTTTGGGGGGTCCCAAAAAAGAAAGATGCACCAAAATGACCTTGTGGTTTTCCATTTCGTTCATTAGTCAAGGGTCCAAAAGATGAAGCTTTTGTGTCCACGTCCCTAAAGGGGCAAGTGCGGTGGAGAATCACCGCGGAGACACGGGAAACCTTCCAAGCAAAGCTGGGGAATCTCTTCTATTTCGACACATGGCGTTGCTACTTTGGTCCTGTTTCTGGCAGAAACAGAGCCACAACAATCACCCCATGTGTGAAAATGGGATTGGGGTTGTTAAAAGAAATTGGCTATGGATCTTCCATTTTACACAGGGCCCTGCAGCTGAGAACTGCAGCAACCATCATTTCGGGCGCTTGAACATCAGCCATTCTGAGCACCCCAAAATCAAAGGCATATTTTTCGTCCATCATGAGCCCTTCGCCATTTGGGGACCCGTGGTTGGATTATTTTCGATAAACTTGCCCCTTGGATGTTCAACCTACTTAGTAAGTACCTGGAGGCTCCTTTGTCCCTTGGTTTTTGGGGTCGCAAAGTAAGAATTGCATTTTTTTGCGAAGAGGCGTTTTTGTTTTAACGTACCTTTTTGTTTGCAGTTGCCACAACCCCAAAAACAAAGGGCAAAGGAGGCTCCACAGACTGGTGTACCAGGGTGTTGTTTCTGATAGGGGGCATTTTAAAGGTCCCACATTGGAAGGTTGGATGAACTTCAGTATTGCTTGTGAGGGGGGTGCCGGAAAAGGACACAGGAGTTTGTGGGCCTGAGCTCACGCGTTTGCACTGCCCACCGCCCTGTGGCTCATTTGTAAGCCCTTGCCACAGTGTGGCAACGTGTGGAATCTGGAGGGTTGTGGCCTGACCCAGGCACGCTGCCCAAGCCGTGCAATGCATGCTTGCAAGCAAGTTGCACTGCGTGCATGGCCTTGCTTAAATGGAGCATGCGTGCAAATATACTTTGCCCGTCCGTCCAAAAACCATTTGCTCGAGCACGAAGTTTCTTGGAAATCGGGTGCTTGGAGTGGAATGGAAGAGTTCCTCAGCTCCAACAAGACGTTGAAGAAACAGATGGAAGAAAGAGGCACGGGAACCATCTTGCCTTGGTCTGTGATTCCTACGTTTCGACACACAGGCCTCGGTGGCCTGCCAGACTCTTTCTGGTATGAGGTTTTCAAGGTGTTGTACCCAGCGGAAGAAGCCGGACGGCAACAGTGTGCAACACTTTGGTTGTTTGTGACCCCTGTTTTCTTTCGCTTTGATATTTCCCTGTGTCAAGGAGATCCGTCTTTCGGAAACCCACGTGAAATCTATGCTGGGCAATTACGACGCGTCTGGCCTGGTGCGCCACTTGGTGTCTCGCACCCAAGGCAGGTTGGGGCATGTCCCTACACTGACCCTGGTTCCACAAAGTTTCGCTGGCTGTGGCAGGCTCTGGAAACTTCAGCGCCGCTTTGGCCTGCGCTGTGCTCACACCCCGTTCCCCACCCCCAACACGATGGGCTGTGGCCGTTGAGATTTGAGGGTTGGTTGAAAGTAAAAGTGACCCTGGGCTCGGTTTTTCATCGCAACACTGATTTGGTTTCCCTGAGCAAGCGCAATCCAGGGCTGTCTCATCGCGCTGCGGCAGCCTTTTTCCCCGTCCCAGGAGAGCTCTGCGTCATCTGAGTAGCTTCCGCTGGCCTGCAGAGATAGCGGGTAGCTATGCATAGACAAATCACGGCAATCGCCCCTACGCTTAAGTCGCTTGAGTTCCTGGCAAAGATGCGTGCGTGTGAAGTAGGCCCGCTCCGCCCGCGCCTCCGCAGGTGGCGGGTCTTTGCTCGCTGCGGCATGGTCTGAGCCTTTGGCGCCCAGATACCCCACCATTCCTGGCAAGGAAGGGCTCAATGCTACTCAACCAGTACTGGCAAAGTATTTGACGAGATTTCTTCAAAGAAGACTTCGGAGCTCTATTTGCTAAGAGATTTTTGAAAGAAGGGTCCAGCGCTATCGACCCAATCATTGCTGAAAACATGTTTGCATTGATATTCCACAGAAAGGTTGAGTGCTGTCAACCCAAAAAAAGTTCTGTGCGTTGAGATTGGAACTCTATACTCAACCGTTATTTGTAAAATACATGACAAGTAGGGTTTCAGAAAACATGTTGAACACAGTATACGCACCCAACCAATTCTGTCAACATATTCTGTTAGATTTCAATCAAGGGTTGAACGGCTCAACGCCTTACGCCCAACCATTGCAAGCAAAGGGTTTGCGTTGAGGCTTCAAAGGCGGGCGGAACACTCTCCGCCTATTCATTGCTGCTTCGAGATTCCAAAGAAGCGTTCATTATTCGACACCCTTGCCACGTTTAGGCGTTCAGTGCTCCGCAATTGCCCATGCACTCGTGTTGAGCTCGGCTGTCTACGCGCAGCAAAGTGGCTCAAACAGCTGATTGCTCAACCTCGCAGGAGTTATGGTGAAAGACTCGTGGGTCACTGCTTTGAATGGTTTGGCGGAACGTTGGGAGGCGGACAGCTGCATTCGTCGCCTCGCCAGAGAGACGAACTCAATTCTGAGATGGTCTGACCCGGATGCTTGTGGCATTCCCTCTATGAAGCTTGCCAGATATGGGCCCCATAATTTTGGACCCAGCCGACCCTTTCTTAAAACTTGTTTCTTGGGAAGCTTTCCGGGTAGTGTTTGGTGGTAAGTGGGGTTGCGCAATCTTTTCTCAAACAATAGACTTTTTTGGCAGTCAACAGCTTGAAGGTTCGTTCATATGAATTTGTGCTGTAGTTTAAGTCCGGGACACATGTTGTTGACGGAGGTTGAGTTTGGAAAGCTGCTATCTCTTGGCCCAAAAAGCAGCCCCAATTCTGAACGAATTCCTTCAGCCTATGATTCTAGTGTTCCCCATTAAATCCTTCAGGAAAAACGTGGCTTTGAACTTCCACGTGCTCAAGCACCTCGGGGAGGTTTGGGTGGAGGTGTACGATTTCGAGGCCGTCGGCGCACCCCGCACACCGCCACTCCGAGCTCTGCAGCGGCAGGCACCCTGGCAGCAAGTCTCCTGGCGGGGGACAGGTGTGCAGGGTCAGGGCTGTTGAGCCAAGGTGCAAAATTTCTGGAGGCTTATGCAAGCCGATGCCGCTGGGAACTTCATGCCCAGTAAGATTGCCATACACGCCCAGAGCTGGGGCTGCAGAAAATTGTTGTCGCACGTGTTTCGCCGGATGAGAATTGGGCGAGCTCCACGGGTTCCTTGCACGAATTATGTTGCACTGTGCTTTCGACATATAGCAGCCCTTTGCATGTAAGACCAGCCGTGTTTACACAGCGCGTGTGCGGATGTTGCACTGTAGGATGAGGACGTGGTCTGTTTGGTGAATATATTCCGACGGCATTGGTACCATACAAGTGACGAGGCGTGGAAATTTGCGCTACGCACGACCTTGGTTCTTTTGATGTTATTTTTGTCTTTTAAACCGCGCATTGTGGTTTAGCGCATGAGCGCACGATGTGGCGCAGACTGGGCGACGAACGCAGGAAGCCGGCCTTGAAGAGGGTGAAGAGGAAGAGCAAGAAGATGACCCGCTGCTGGCTGACGAGGGGGACAAGCTTGCGATCGACGAAATGCCCATCTGCGAGGATGGCTTGGACGTCGACTTCGACCCATGTGAGGACAGGCAGGCGATGCAGAAGGCAGACGGGACGCAGGGGCTGGAAGCGGTTGACCCGTCCACCTGGGAGACGCTTCCTCTAGGAGACGCGTTCTCTAACGCAACGCCAGCGCTAGTTCAGGCCGAGGCGGTTCACGTGACGAGTGTCAAGAAGGAGGCCATAGACGCCGTGACTATCGACGAGCGAATTCTACGTTTGAGGCAGGGTCTACCAGTTTACGCAGCTAGGGTTGCGTGAGACGATCGTTTGTTCTAGTGGGAGGCAGAGCTTGGAGACTATTAGGATGAAGAAGTCCAGCACCCCCGCTGCGTCGAGTGCATCTCGCTTGCGCTTCGCGTGTGTTGCTAGTTGCGAATTTGTACGCCAGGCTCATGATGTTGCATTTTGACATTTGAGGTAAAAATGAATGTGGACCTTACCATGGAGGTGGATGCTCCTCAGCCCTTTTTAAGTGCTGTGTGATTCAACAGATTGAACCCCGGCAAATCGATGCCTGTGCAAGGACGAGGTGGCTGGCATGAAAGAGAGCCCTTGCTGTCTTCTTCCTACTCAAGCTCGGCAGGACTTAACGAGCGGCGCAAACAAAATACCATATATGCACAAAATTGAGCTTGACAAATGTTAACTTTTTCCGTTTGTTTGTTTTTCGTGGGAGGATGTGGAGCCAAAGCCACAGCAGCAAGCCGAACTCGTTCCATCCCCCAAGCCAGAGCCAGTGGACACAGTCCGTTGCGAGGAGAAGCCAAACCACAAGCCAGACCCAGTGGACGCAGCCCATCACCAGCCCGCAGTTCCCCAGCCAAAGCAGGAGCCCGCAGCCCCCGCAGCAGCGCCCAAGCCAAAGCTGGAAGACGCAGTTTGTCAGGAAGTGGCAGCCTTTAATCCTCCAACCCCCAATCCCAAGCCAGCGCAAACGCCCGCAGCCCCCAATCCAAAGCCAGCAGAAGCAGCCTTCCAGGAGTGCGCAGCGCCCAATCCAAAGCCAGAAAAAACAGCCGACCAGGAACCTG